TCATGTAGGGTCTGCCCTGTTGTCCCCGGATCATGCGGGTGGCCCTCCTCTGGACCCTTTCAATGTTGTCCACATCCCTTCTGAAATGGGGCGCACAGAACTGGACGCAGTACTCCAGCTGTGGCCTGACCAGCGTCGCATACAGGGGGAGGATCACCTCCCTCGCTCTACTTGAGATGCACCTGTGGATCAGACCAGGGTTGAAAGCACTGCACAGATGCAAGAACCGTAGCGCACTTGGCACCACAGATGGCGGCAACCCGTGCGGAGCCCCGCCCCCTTCCCCAGCGGCTGCTGATCTGGCGCTTCACGTCGCCCGTCGAAGCTTCCGCGCAAACTCTGCGGCTCTACATTCTCTTGGCAACTGCTGACCCGAGGGGCGGGGGCGGAGGGGAGGCTGCCGATTGGCTCCGGCCTCCGCCAATGGGGCGAGGCGCGTGTGCTTGCCGGGGAGAGCGCCGGAGCCCGGGCTGTCGGGGCCGCAGAGCACGCAGGGGATGTTAGGAGCGGCGGGGCGTGCGCGGGCCGCCGCCGCCTGCGGGCTGTTGCTCGCTGCCGCTTGCGGCATCGCGCTCGGGCCCGCCTCAGCCTCAGGTAACGCGGCCGCGCTGCCTCTTCGCTCCGGCCGGGGTGGGCAGCGCCTGCGGAACTCCCTGCCCTGCCCGGGGCTTTCGCTTTCGCTCTGCGGCACCGCTCGGGTGGGGCCTGGGCTTGGCCCTGGAGCAGCTGCCTCGCGTGCAGAAGGGCCCCCGCTGTGATGGCCCGGGGCTGTGTCGGCTCCGGGGCAGGGCGGGGACAGAGGCTCCCGCTCGGGCGTGTCCCGAGCCGCAGAAGCCTCCTCCCCATGGAGGCGGGGTCCTGTCCCCACTCCAGTCCGTGGCCCCTGTGGGCAGAGGGCTTGGTTTGGCTGTCAGCCCCTCGGCTGTAGAGTCGGAAGAGGAAAAGCCCCAGCTGGATGGTCTCTGTCCAGCCTCTTTCTAAGGCTGAAAGTATCCCATGCCTTGGCCGGGGCTTCTGGAAAAGAGAAGCTGCTTCTCCCGTGCCTGTGGCAGAGCCACACCTCGGGTGTTTACCTCAACCTGCTTCCTGTTTGGGGTCAGGTACCACTGAGGTCTTGGCTGCAACTCTCCACGGGAGCTCCAAAAACCCTCCACTACAAATGGAGATGGCATGGTGGGCTCTTGACCCGGACAATCTCTAGCTGTTGCTCTGTTTTGCACTTGGGCTGGCAGCACAGGCTTCTGCTGTGTTCCCTATTTGTCCCCTGCAGCCAACGTCTAGACTAGAACATTGTACGAAAAGGGTTTATTTCTCATGGGACTTGGGATGGAAGTTGGAAAGGGAGATTGTAGAGAGACAGTGGAAAAAAGGGGAAGGGAGGAAACCCCTTAAAAACTCTGGAAAGGAATGTAACCAAGGTGAAATGTTCAAGGAGCTAATGGCGGGAATGGGAAGTTAGGGGATTTACAAGGTGTTCTCATGTTTTGGTTTTTCTTTCACTTACATTGAGAAGATAATCACATTTTTTCCAGTATGTCTTTGGTTACCTGCTAAAAAGTTGCTTGGATAGGTGAATTAATTCAGCTAAGTGAAACTAGGGCATCTTTTGACAGATGTTTCCTGCTTGGTCATGATGCATAGAGTTAATATCTCTGTGGTTATGTTTGGTATGATTTAATACAGCGGAGCTTGAGAGAGAACTGTTTGTCATACAATACCACCGCTATCACATACTATCAAATTTAAAACTACAAATACAGTATTGTGTTAAGTAAAGCTTAAAAGATAACAGTATGCAGTACCTACAGTTCCAAGTTATGGTACTGTATCAAATTTTAAAGTGGACAAACAAAACTCTATTAAATAGAGATTAGAAAAGGAAGAGTTTGTTGTACAATATTGCAACATTTTTAAAACTAACTTGAAAATGTTGATTAGAATAAGTAAGGGGTTTGGATAACTGAGGCTTAGATAACTGGGAATGGACTTTAGGGGAAGTAGAAACGCATGTGTGCACACACCATCCTGAATGGCAAGGGCTTCTGTTTAATTGCTGCACTTGAAAGTGTGAAGTACAGTAACATACAGACATACCTGTGCAGACTCCAAAGCAGATAACCTTTGTCACTGATAAATGTTACTTTTTTTGAGCACATACCTTAAAGTGAACTCCACAGTAAGTCTCTAGTTATCCAGTTCTTGGTTTTGCACTTAATATAAAATGTTGTAGTTTGGTATTCACTAAGGCTTGCTCCTTGGTAGTCTTCTTGCATAGTCTTCAGAAAATTGACTCCTCCATTTAAGAGTAGATCCATCACTATTACTGCAGTCTTTCAGACTGTTCACTGTCTCTGCTAGACCATATAGAAGGCAGTCAGTTAGTATATACTGGGCTGTCTGATCTCCTTTGCTACAGGGGCACAACAGTCAGTTTGTAAGGCTTGTTTTATGTTTGATTTTGTTGAAGGCTCCATAGCCTGGTCACAGTTCATTCAGGTTTACCCATGCCTTATGTGGGAGTTTATGACCAGGAGAGTGTGAAGATAGTAGTTGTATGTAGTTGTGTAGTGGGGTGTACTTGTTATTCCACTGCTCTTCCCACATTATTTGGGGCCAGGATGACAGTATGGTGTCTCCTACTTCCTCTATGATGTTTCTGGCAGATACTGGTAGGGGTTTTCTGCTTCTTTGAAAAATACCCAACACAGAAATGTCTATTATGTCATGTAGTAGGGACTCTTCCTGTTGGGCTTTGGTTGCCAGATCAAGCAGTATTCTAGACCTTTTAATGTTATGAGGGGGGATTCCTGCCCAGATGAACATGTTTTCCCATTCTGTGTATACCAGACAGCAGCTTATTGTTTGTACTGCAGAATTTGGGGCACTGTCTAGTTTGCAGGTGCGGGCACTATTTACCCACACAGGGAGGCAGTATTCTGTTGGTGTGTAAACCATGGTTAGTGTAGTTGTTCTCAAGGTAGAGAAGTTGACTCCCCATGTTGTTCAGGCTAGTTTCTTAATGGCTGTTGCCCTGGAGGTTACCTTCTGCCTCAACTTCTCCAGGTGATGTGGAAAGTTGGCTTCTTTCTAGAGTGACATTCAGGTAGGTTGGCGTCTTCTCAAAGGGTAATTCTTTTTTCCCTCTACAGCAACTCTTATCTTGGCATTCGCAGCATGATTGTTCAGGTGAAAAAGCGTTAAGGTGGTCTTCTGTATATTCAGCTCCAGTCACCACTATTTTAGGTAGGAAGCTGTGCATTCCATGTCACAGTTCAGTTTGGCCTTTATTGACGATATGTTGTTATTGGCAGCAGCAAGTGTCAGGTCATCTGCATACATATATTTGGTCGATGTGGTGCTTATGTAGTCTGCTGTGTAGATGTTAAACAGGGTGGGAGCTAGAATGGAGCCTTGTGGTACTCCATTCCTGAGTAATGAAGTTAACCAGACTTCTGTCTGGTAATGTGGTAAGTAGCTTATACCAAAAGCCTGGGTGCCAGACCCTGTTGTGGGCTGCTGTTAGGTCAACTAGAATTGCTCCAACCTTTTCTCGATGCTCAAAGGCTCTCCAATATGAGTTGTAAGAGTTGCCACATGGTCAAAGGTTGATCGGTTTCTTCTGAAACCTGCTTGCTTGTGTGGCAGCTGTTTGTCAACAATTGGTGCAGTCCAGTTCAGGATAAGGCACTCAAGGAGTTTATAGACTACTGCTGAAAGTGATATGGGTCTATAGCTCCTTGGGTCTGTCAGATCTTTCCCTGGCTTCTGTACTACAATGATGTTGGCTTTCTGCCAGATTTTTGGTATCTTGCAGTGATGCATACATGTTGACAGAAAGCTGCATAGCCAGTCTTGGGCCATAGCCCCAAGTTTGGTGAGGTGTTCAGGAAAAATGTAGTCAGGGCCAGCAGCTTTGCCTGTTTTAACATGAGAGAGTGCTGTCTTCATCTCTTCAGTGAAAGGAGCAGTCAGGTTTTGATTTGCAGTTGGTGATTTTTAGGATGGATATGGTTTTCTGCTTAATGAACTGTACCTTGTAATATCATACTTCACCTTCTGTAGTACTTGGTTCTCCTACTTCACTGCATTCTGCCTATTTTAGCTTTGAGTTCTGTTTTACTTAATTGTAGTGGAAGATACTTCTATGGGTTCTTCATTTAGAATGTGATGAACATCATTTATTCAGTAATAGTGAATTTCAGGGTTTGAAAAATCTGCCTGTATAGGTTGAATAAGATGCTTTTTAGGAAGAATTGGAATCGCAGCTCTACCTAATGAGAAGATGAAGTTACTAGCCTTTATCATTGCAAAGAAAACACTGTAAGTTAATATTTGGATAAGTATTTTACTGATGGCTGTAGTTTTTCTAAGGTATACAGTAAAATGCAACTTGACTGGTATTTCCACTTCTTTTACTGCTTTATTTGGCTCCCTGTGGTTAAGAAGGCCCATGTTTGTTTCATTTGGTTGCTGTTTAGGAAACTGAACAGTTTGGAGCAGAGAAGTATTCACTGGGGGAAAGATCTTGAAAAGTGGATTTAAGTGGAAATAACAGAGCTCTGCCAACTTCCCTGCATTGTGGCACCAGGATGCTGAGACCTGATTCAAAAAGGGATTTATGCATGCTAGGCACTCTAGTCAGAATTGATGTGCCTTTTTGCTAATGAGTGAGTTAAAGTCCTGCTTAAATATTTATAACCAGGTGAAAAACTAGGCATTCCAACACAGTTCTGTGTGTTTTTAGAACTTGGATAAGAATGGATTTAGGTGTTTGAAAACAAGTATTGTGCATTGTCGGTATATCTACTATTTAAAATAAGAGGTGTTATGTTAGCGCTTGAATTCTGCTTTTAGGGTCTTCTGGATTTGCAGTCTAGCCATCCTTGTGCCCAAGTCCTCAAAGGGGCTCAATTTGACAAATGTGTTTGCAGGATTTCTAATGGGACAACAAGGGGCCTGCCCAGTAACATAATGCAGCAGTCAGCAAGGCCAGAACAATCTGGTTTAGGTCCAAAATGAGCCAGTGCTTCCAACCTGGCTGCTACCATTGGCACTGCTTTTCCCTGCTGCCCAGCTGCGTGCCTCCTGCCCCCGCTCAAAATGCTGCCATTCCACAGGTCTTCCAATCTTTGGCCTAATGATGGAACCTAGGCTTTCCTTAGGCTAACAGGGTTTGTACACACCTCTTCTTGGGAAAGTGCCCTACCCCCCAGGCTATTACTAGGTAGGCTGTGGGGGAATCTGTAACCCTTTTGATGAATCTAAGCCACAGCATGGAAAGAAATGCAAGAAACATGGGCCTGAAAGCAAAAGGGAGTGTACTCTGTGGCCTAGCAAGATGGGAAGAGGAAACATTTGTTCTGTTCTCAGTGCTACTTGTGCATGATATCCAATAACTTACTGGGGAAAAAAGCATATGGAATTGTAGGAACCATAATACAGGACTAGCTCCCTACCAGGAGAGTGTCATCCTGACTGTACTACAGAGTTTAGGCTTCTTCCTACACCTACTGTTTTAATAATCTACGATTTAATAAACATCTTCCTGTTTTAATAATGTTATGATCTTGGGCAATAAGTGTAGGCAAGGGTTT